CAAGTGGGCTGGGGCCCAGACCAGGAGCCAGGAGGACCTGGCAGTTACCCAGAAAGTATACAAATGGGAGAAGTGGGTCACGGTTGGTGACTTGTCCCTCCAAATCTCCAAGTGGGTTCCTGTGATGGAGCCAAAGGTTGATGATTTAAAAAAGAGTAAGAAAAAAGGCAAAAGCAAAGATGAGAAGTAGGGCTTGGACGTGACCATACTGGCAAATACAAAATGGCAAATAAGTACATAAAAGATGCTCAAAAATCATCAGTTAACCGGTTTTCTACATGCCAAAGATTGAAACCAGACCCATTATCTTTCACCATGCACTAACCTGAAATCGAAATGGATCAAAGATCTAAATATTAAAACAGAAACACTAAATCTGCTGGAAGAGAGAATAAGTACAACGCTTGAGGACATTGGCGTAGGCAAAGACATCATGAACAAAACTCAGACGACACAAGAAATAGTACAAAGAATCAACAACTGTGACCTCAGCTTATTAAAAATCTTCTGCACAGCAAGAGAAACCACCAACAGAGTGAAAAAACAACCCATAGTGTGGGAAAGATTTTTTTACCAGCTATTCATCAGTAAAGGACTATTACCTAGAATATATAAAGAACTCAAAAATATCAGACCCCCCAAATTTAAAGACCCAATCCAAAAATGGGCATCTGAAATGCAAAGACACTTCTCAGATGAAGAAGTAGAAACAGCAAATAAATGTTTCAAAAAATGTTCAAAGTCACTGGTCATTTGTGAAATGCAAATTAAAACAATGCTGAGATTCCATCTCACTCCAGAAAGAATGTGTGCTAACAAAAAAATCACCCAATAACAAATGCTGGAAGGGGCCGGGGATTTAGCTCAGTGGTTCTGGGGCCTGCCTCTTCTGGTGCCTGCCTCGCAAGCACAAGGTCCCGAGTTCGATCGCAGTACCAAAAAACAAAAACCCCACAAATGCTGGAGAGGCTGTGGGGAAAAAGGAACCCTTCTCCATTGTTGGTGGGAGTGTAGACTGGTGCAACCACTGTGGAAATCAGTGTGGAGACTTCTCAAAAAACTAAAATTAGAGGTTATACTTGACACAGCTATATCTCTTCATGGGATCTTCCTGAAAAAAAAAATGTGGTGTTGTTTTTTTTTTAATACAATGGAGTATTGCTCTGCCAGAAAGAAAGATGAGCTTCAGACATTTATAGCTAAATGAATGGACCTCGAGACTATACTCTTAAGTGAAATAAACTGGACACACATGTTTAAATACCACATTGTTTCTCTGGTGTGAGAAACTGAGAGTGGAAATAAGGACTAAGATGTGTAATAGATACTGGGAAATGTGAAGAAAATGTTCAAATGGGAAGGGGAACAAAGGAGGAGGGCAGGTGAAAGGAAGGAAGGGACAAGAAAAAAAGTGAAAATAGAAGAAAAAATGGAAACAAAGCTTTTGTACATAGGGAAGGGAGGGGCCTCGAGGTGAGCAATGGGATAAAATTTAAAAAAGAAGAAGAAGAAAGCCATCAGTCATTAGAGAAAAACCATGAGATATGACTATATACCTATAAGCCTGGGCAAAATTAATAGACTGAACATACCACATAGTGAAAAGGATGTACAACTCTCATAAATAGCTGGCTAGTATACAAATGGTACAATCACTTTGAGAAAGAGTCTGGGAGTGTCTTAAAAAACTACGTACAGGGCCAGGGATTTAGCTCAGTGGTTTCGCCACCTGCTTTGCTACGCAACCCGAGTTCAATCCCCGGTATCAAAAAAAACAAAAACAAAAACAAAAAAACTACATACCCACATTTACCATATGAACAAGCGATTCCACTCCTAGGTATTACCGAAGAATAATGAGTCTATGTCCATACAGAATATTTGAGCAAAAATGTTCACAGCAACTTAAATTTTTTTTTTTCTTCTGGTACCAGGGATCAAACTCAGGACCTTGTGCTTGTGAGGCAGGTGTGGTGTCACTGAGCTAAATCCCTGGCCCAACAGCAACTTAATTTGTTAACAGCACCAAACAGAAAAATACATCACATCCTTGAAAAGGTCAACGGATAAAAAATTATGATATACTCATAAAATGAAGTATTACTCAGAACAAGGTATGAATTATGGATACAAACAACATGGATTCCATACATAAAAATTCTAGAAAATCCAAACTAATCTACAATAACTTAAAGTTCAAAGGTTGGGGAGGGAACCCAAAGGAGCTTGAGGAAATTTCTGGAGGTGACAGACATGTTCATTATTTTAATTATGTTAGTGATGATTTCACAAGTATATACCCATGTCAATACTTTACATCCTATTTAAATACACACTGGGGCTGGGGATTTAGTTCAGTGGTTCTAGCGCCTGCCTGGCATGCGTAAGTTCCTGAGTTTGATCCCTGGTACCCAAAAATAAATAAATTAATTAATTAATTAATTAATTAATTACATACTATTCATCATATGACAATATATCTGAAAAAACCTATTTGCTGTTACACAGCATGGAAAAAAATTCCCCAATTATATAAAAAAGAAAAAAATAGACTGCAAAATAGTATGTATATCTTTATCCACCAATCTGTTACATACATATTTTTGTTGTTGTTGTTGTTGTTTTTTTGGTACTGGGGATTGAACTCGGATCCTTGCGCTTGTGCAGCAGGCAGCAAAACCACTGAGCTAAATCCCCGGCCCCTTTTACATACATATTTATGTGTGTTTATGAATAAAATACATTTAGAGGAGAGTATGGAAAACTAAACTCATCATTGGAAAAATAAAGAAGACTCTGCTTTGAGAGGCTGAGGCAAGAGGATCACAAGTTCAAGCCCAGCCTGGGCAACATAATAACTCAGCAAGATCCTCTGTCAAAATAAAAAATAAAACAAGAGCTAGGAGCCAGGCATGATGGTGCATGTCTATAATCCCAGCACTTGGGAGGCTGAGGCAGGAGGACTGCCATGAGTTCAAGGCTAGCCTGGGCTATAGTGAGTCCAAGGTCAGCCTGCACTACAAAGCAAGACCTTGTCTCAAAAGAAAATCCACCCCGACCAAAAAAGAAAAAAAGCTAGGAATGTAGAACAGTGCAAAGGCCCTGGGGCTCAATCCCCAACACTAATTTAAACAACAACAAAAAACCACTTGGTTCCCAAGGTGGCATTATTGGTAGATGCTGTGGACTTTTAGGAGGTGGGGCCTACAGAGAGGTTCTGAAGTCTCTGGGGATAGGACCTGTATTAGTTACTTTGCTCTTGCTGCTGAGACAAAATACTCGACACCCAAAGTTAAAGGGGGAAAGGCTTATTTAGCTCACAGTCTATAGAGGTTTCAGTCCATAGTCAGCTGGCTCCAAGGCAGGGTGGCACAGAAGACAGGCATTGCAGAAGAAAAACAGCTCATGACAGGCAGAAGGTAGCAAAGCAAGCAAGGGACCTTAGCAGCTTTTCTCTGCCCCTTTTATATTCTATCTAGGCTACCAGGATTAGGGCGGTACCAAATTAATCAGTGGACTGACTGAGTAATCACCCAGCCTTAGCCCTAGCATTTTGGTACTGGGGATGGAACTCGGGTCCCTATGCTTGCAGGACAGGTGGCAGCTACTGAGCTAAATCCCCAGCCCAGCCCTCGCATTCTTAATCCTAGCATTGCATGATGAATCAGTCACACACTCTAGATTCAGCCACCTCTGAAAAAGCCCCAACTACGACTGTCTAAGGTTTTGGGGGGGACATCTAAACAAGTCATAACAAGACCCATAATAAGTCGTACAAAAGAAGGTACTACCTTTACTTTTTCGGGGGGGGGGGGGGTGGTACCAGGGATTGAACTCAGGTCCTTGTGGTTGCACAGCAGGCGCTGAAACCACTGAGCTAAATCCCCAGCCCATGACTTTTACTTTTATACGCTAACTGCCTCAGGTATTTTGTTATGACAATGTGATGCTGGACCAATACAAAATATTACTTTCATTATAAAAATGTTAAAGAAGCCAGGTGTGGTGGCACACACCGGTGGAAGCTGAGGCAGGAGAATCACTGCAAGTTCAAGGCCAACGTGGGCTATGTAGTAAGTTCAAAGCCAGCCTGAACTGCATAGTGAGACCCTGCCTCAGAAAATAAATAAATAAATAAACAAATAAATAAATAAATAAAATTTTTTAAATGTTAGGATTTTCTTCAAAAATATTAGGAAAGTGAAGACTATGTAATGATGATAATGTAAAATAACTGTCATAGGACCAGGCATGGTGGAGCATGCCTGTAATCCTAGGACTTGGGAAGCTGAAGTAGGAATATTACTTCAAGTCGAGGCCAGCCTGGGCTACATAGGGAGACCCTATCTCAAAAAAGAAAACAAACCTGTAATTGTTAGAAAGCAATTTATTTATTCATTTTTCACTCGTTTTTTGAGATGAGATCTCACTCATGTTGCCCAGACTGGCCTCAAGCCATCTTCTAGCCTCAATCATCCAAACTGATGGGATGATAGGCACATACCACTATTCCAAGTTAAGTAGTGTTTTCATGTGAACATTTTTTTGGTCATTTGAGACAGACTCTAAATGCCTGCAGGGCCAGGCGTGTAGCACAGTGGCACCTGCTTGCCTGGCAAGTTCAAGGTCCTGAGTTCAATTCCTAGTAGTAAAAAAACAAACAAACAAAAAAGACAGCTTCCCTTTAAATCAACCTAATTGTCTATTAGTGCTTCTGTTGGACTGCTGGGTTATAAATTTCTTAAAACAGGGCCGGGGATTTAGCTCAGTGGTTTCACCGCCTGCTGCACAAGCACAAGGACCCAGATCCCTGGTGGCATTAAAAATAAATAAATAAATAAACAAACAAATAAAAATAAATTTTTAAAAACAATTTTAATTTCCCAAATTTTCCACAATATGCTGTGGTATTTTATAATTAAACAACAGTCTTCCATTTTAATATAATTCCAAAATAATGCCAGAAATCCACAAATCAAAATTAATAAAGAGCTTCTTACCTGAATTAGCATTTCTGAGCATGCTGACCAGTGCTGGCATAAGCTGAAACTCAAACGTCCTTTGGCCTCCACAGTAATTGCAGGCTGGAACTTCAGAGACTTCCAGGATGGGGTGTGTCAAAAAGAGTGGTTCTCCACTCCACGAATACCTAGGACGGGGAAGATGAAGAACTGAAGCAAAGCCATATACATTTTTTTTTTTTTTTTGGTACCAGGGATAGAACTCAGGACCTTGTGCTTTCGAGGCAGGCAGCAGAACCACTGAGCTAAATCCCCGGCCAAAGCCATATTCATTTAAGACACAACCCAACAATGAGGCTGTCCACTGCAAACTTACTTTCTTGTAGAATTATCATGAGCAAACAAGAGAGCACATCAAAGCCCCTAGAGCAAAAAGTAGCAAGTAGCAAGTCTGTAAAACCACAGCAAGACACCTAAAGCCACAGCAAAATGTAGACCCAGTTCAAGGGCAGATTAAATGGACTAAGATCTGGTCTGCTGTTCTTCAACACATAGTTTCTGGCAAATAACAAAAACAAAAATTACTAGATAAGGAGGAAAATTTAAACCATGAAGAAAGGTAATACAAGACCCATATACAAGATGATGGACCTATAACATGACACTATTGTATTTTGTTTTGTTGGGTTTTTTTTCTTTTTTTTCTTTTTTTGTGGTACCGGGGATCAAAGTCAGGAACTTGCGCTTTCGAGGCAGGCAGTGGCACCACTGACCTAAATTCCCGGCCCTTATTTTGAATTTTTGGTTTTTTGGTTTTTTTGGTACCTGGGATCGAATTTGGGACCTTGTGCTTTCGAGGCAAGCGGCAGAACCACTGAGCTAAATCCCGGGCCCTATTTTGGTTTTTTAAGACAGGGTCTCACTATGAATTCCAGACAGCCCTTGAACTCACTATGTAGCCCAGGCTGGCCTCAAATTTGTGGTGATCCTCCTGCCTCAGCCTGCCAAGTGCTACAATTTTAGCTGTGTGCCACCATAACCAGCTATAATATAAGGATTTTAAAGTATCAGTAACAAATATGTAAAAGAATACCATTGTGCCAGGCATGGTGCCGCATGCTTGCAAGCACAAGGTCCTGAGTTTGATCCCCGGCCCTCCCCCCTACTAAAATTTTAAAAAAGTAGAAAATATATATCCAGTTACAGGAGGTTCTTGTGCATGAGGATTAAGGGATTTTAACATTCCTCTCTCGATAGTTGGTAAACAAGACAAAAGTAATCAGTAATAAATAAAACCTGAAAAAAAAAAATTAAATAAATAAATAAATAAAACCTGGTGTGGCAACAACTGGATATTCAGCTCCACACCTGCCTGGAAAGCACAAGGTCCTGAGTTCAATTCCAAGTACCGGAAAAAAAAAAAAAGGATATTTAAATGGAAAAAAAAGAACCGTGACCCACTTATACCACATATAAAAATTCACTCTAAATGGATCATAGACTTAATATAAATCCTAAAACTAAAAACAAGATCTCAAAACAACACAGGAAAAATTCTGTTACCTTGGGCTAGGTAGGTAGATTTCGCAGGAAGAAAAGGTATGAACCATCAGACTGGGGTACAGCTCAGGAGTAGCATGCATGAGAATAAGCATAAAAAAACTCAAAACTTGGTGGGGATGTAGCTCAGTGGTAGGATGCTTGCCTAATGTACCTGAGGTCCTGTGTTCCATCCCCAGCTCTACAAAAAATAAAGCCCCTCAAAATTGTTAATTTGGCCTTAATCAAAATTTAAAACTTCTCTTCAAAAGTCACTGTTACCAAGATGCAAAAAAAAGCTACAGATAAGGAGAAAATATATGAAATGCATATATTTGAGAAAGGATTTGCATCCTGAACATATGAAAACTTTCTACAATATAACAACCCAATAAAAATATGTCTAAGATTTGAACTTATACTTTGCTAAAGATGATATACAAGGGTTAACAGAAAAATACAGTGCATGTTTAAATTTTTAAAAACGTAATACAGGAAAAGATACATTGCCATTAATCTCCCCCAAAATACTACCCTCACTTGGCACATACTCATACCATCTTTCTTGCCACTTTTGTTTTTTGGGGTTTGTTTATTTTGAGACAGGGTCTCACTATGTAATTCAGGCTCGCCTTGAGTTCACTATGTAGCCCAGGCTGGCCTTGGATACACAGAGATCCTCCTGCCTCAGCCTCCAGAGTGCTTGGATTACAGACATGCACCACTATGCTCAGCTGATTGACACTTCTGGAAGCAGTTCTAGAAGTTCTCTTTTGTAAGTGTCTTGACAAAGTATGATCAATAATACAGTGAATACTGTTGCTAAGTTCCATCCAACCAAAAGGTAGAGTTATACAAACTACAATGTGTTCTCATCCACCTTATTCACCAGATTTGCAACATACAACTTCTGGCTTTTCCCTAAAGTCAAAATGACCATGAAAAGTCAAAAGTTCTGAATTGATTCAGGACATGAAGGTAGCCACAACAGCACAACTAAAGATGCAAAAGGACTTCCAGAACTCCTTCAGAAAATGGCAAGAATGATAAGTGTTTGAAGTGAAGGGGGGGTAGTATGAGGGGGAATAATGAAGATGTGTTTTTTACTGTAATAAAATCTTAAAATTTGGCTGGGGATTTAGCTCAGTGGTTCTGCTGCCTGCCTTGCAAGGGCAAGGACCCGAGTTCAATCCCCAGTACCAAAAAAAAAAAAAAGAAATCTTAAAATTTAAACACTGTATTTTTCAATCATACCTTGTATAAAGGTGGAAAAGTACAGAAAAGAATGCTCAACAGCTTTTAGTCTTTGGACAAATGCAAATTAAAATCACAATGAAATACTACTATATAACTTCTAGAATGGCTGACTTAAAAACTTAACAGGGGGGCCGGGGATTTAGCTCAGTGGTTTCACCGCCTGCTGCGCAAGTGAAATGACCCGAGTTCAACTGCCGGTACCAAAAAAATAAAAAATGTAGGACACAGTATGTAATAGAACCCTTCCTTTTGTGTAAGAAAATAAGCTGGGGGAAGGGAATAATATACAATCATATTGTTTGTATGTGTATAAACAAACTCTGGAAAAACACATAACAAACTAACAATAGTGGTTACCTAAGGAGACCAGAAATGGTTGGAAAGGAGTTACTTCATTGTATTCATACATTTATGCTTATGCATATAGTTTTACTTTCTTTTCTTTTTTTGGTGGGGGGGGGACACAGCATCTCACTCCATTCCCTAGGCTGGTCTTGAGCACATAAGCTCAAGTGATCCTCCTGCCTTAGACTCCTGAGTAGCTGGGAAGACAGACACTCAGCATCATACCTGGTTATTTTTATGTTTCAGCATTATGAATATATTACCTATTGGAATTTTAACTTTTAAAAAAAGTCCAGGGCCGGGGATTTAGCTCAATGGTTCGACCTCCTGCCTCACAAGCACAAGGTCCTAAGTTCGATCCCCAGTACCAAAAAAAAGAAAAGGTCAAAAAAATACTTTGCAGAATTTTTTTTTTTTTTAGTACCAGGGATCGAACTCGGGTCCTTGTACTTGCGAGGCAGGTGGAGGAACCACTGAGCTAAATCCCCAGCCCTACTTTGCAGAATTTTTAATGTTACCTCTTAATAAGTGCTTATTGAATAAGAAACAAGATATAGGGCCAGGGGGGCTGGGGATTTAGCTCAGTGGTTCCAGCACCTGCCTCACAAGCACAAGGTCCTGAGTTCGATGCCCAGTACCAAAAAAAAAGATATAGGGCCAGGGATTTAGCTCAGTGGTTCCACTGCCTGCCTCGCAAGTGTAAGGTCCCAAGTTTGATCCCCAGTACCAAAAAAAAGAAAGAAACAAGATATATATACTTTATAATCCCAGTTACAGTGTTGTTGTTTTTTCTTTTTCTTTTTTGGTACCAGGGATCAAACTAAGGACCCTGCACTTTTGAGGCAGGTGCAGTGCCACTGAGCTAAATCCCTGGCCCCAAGGTATGGTGTTTTTTGTTTTAGGTCTGGATATTGAGCCCAGAGCCTTCACACTCAACTTCATTTCTAGCCCTTTACTACTTTGAAACAGGATTTTACCTAAATCCTTAAATGCCCCACTTGGGCTCAAACTTGTGATCTTCTTGCCTCAGCCTCCCAGAGTGCTGGGATTACAGGTGTAGGCTACCATGGCTGGCTTCTATTATGGCTTTTAAAAATACACACATAATCCCCGGTACCAAAAAAAAAAAAAAAAAAAGATTAGTAAGTAAAAATACACACATACATGTACCTATATGCAGAAAAAATAAGTGAAGGTAGGGGCCAGAGATTTAGCTCAGTGATGCCATGCCTGCCTGGCAAGCATAAGGTCTTGAGTTTGATCCCCGGTACCGAAAGGAAAAAAAAGTGAAGGTGATATTCTAAAATCTAAGCAATGGTTCTTTCTTGGTTTGGGGAATACTGGGATCTTGGTTTTGTCATTATACTTTTCTTACGATTTTTTTTTTCAAGGAAAGGTACTGCTATGTAGTTCAGGCTACCTTGAACTCTTGGCAATCCTCCTGCCTCAGCCTCCCAAGTGCTAGGATTTTGGAGTGTACTACCACACCCAGTTCTACCACAAATTATTCTTATAATAATAAATAATGAAAGAAAATGTTCCTCTTTTACCTTAAAATCTGCTCCTGACAAACAGCAATTCTCTTCATGAATTTGTAAAACATTTGATCTCCACTTTTAATTTTGGTCTTCTCATATTTTTCATCACCATTAGAAAAACTAAAAAGAAAACCAAACCACTTTTGAGTGTGAATATCCAGAGAATTACAGTATTTAGAAGACAAAATAAAATTATTTATTTACTTATTTATTTTTTGGTACCAGGAATCAAACTCAGGGACTTGTGCTTTGGCAGGCAGGCACTATACCACTGAACCCTATAAAAAAATTTTTTTTTCGTACCGGAGATCAAACTTTGTGGTTGTGAGGCAGGCGGTGGAACCACTGACCTAAATTCCCAGCCCTAAAATAATTTTCTTTAAAAAATTTAAAGCCAGGCACAGTGGTTGGACACCTGCAATCTCAAGAGGCAGCAAAATCACCTTGAGTTTCAGGCCAGCTTGGGTGACATAATTTGTTCAAGGGCAGCTATAAGCCAAACGCTGCTGATGCACGCCTGTAACCCCAGCACTTGGGAGGCTGAGGCAGGGAGATTGACAGGAGTTGAAGTCAGGCTTGGCTACATAGTGAGTTCAAAGTCAGCCTGAACTACATAGTGAAACCCTGTCTCAAAAACAAGGGTTGGGGATTTAGCTCAGTGGCACTGAGCCTGCCTGGCAAGCGCAAAGTCCTGAGTTTGAATCCCATTTTGGGGGGAGAAGGGAAACAACAACAAAAAAGTCATTATGTCCATTGACTCTCTCCATCAGATTGTTTTCAAACATTAACATGTATCAGGCAGTTCTTTTTAACATTATTCTGAAAAAGCCTACAAGTGAGACAGCTCTGATAAGGAAACCAGGTCATCTCTCCAAATATCCTGTTTTAATTCTATCACTGTAATAACAAAGTGATCATTCTTACATTTTAGTGCTTTGGTTTGGTTTATAATGCCTTTCAAGATCTAGTCTCTCACCTGACTCCAGAAATTGATAAAGTGGAGAAGAGAGATATCATTATCCCTACCATTTTATAGATGAGAACTAAGGATGAGGAAGGGCCTCGAAGGTCTTGAGCCAGGTGTGGAGCCTCAGCCAAGACTCAATAAATAAACGGGATTTTTCTAACTCATCTGTCTCTGTTATAAAGACATTTAAAAACAGAGCCAGGAGTGGTGGCATAGGCATGTAATCCCAGCTTCTCAAGAGGCTAAGGCAGGAAGACTGCAAATTCCAGGCCAGTCTGGGAAATTTAGCAAGACCCTGTCTTAAAATAAAAAATGGCTGCCAGCCCTGTAGCTCAGTGTGAAGATTCTAGGTTTAATCCCCAGTACTGCATTCAATCAATCAATCAATCAATCAGTCAGCCAAGGCAGGCTGGGAATGTAGTTTACCACTCACTGGGTTCAATCTCTGTAAAACAAAGAAAAAAAAGACATTTGAAACAGAAAAGGGAATGGGGATGTAGCTCAGTAGCAGAGTGCTTATCTAATATGTATAAAGCCCTTGGTTCAATCCCCAGCAATGAAAAAAAGAGAAAAGAATGTTAAAGATACAGTGAATTCATCTTCTGAAAATATTTGGCATCTTTCTGTATATCTTGGTTCTTCTTCTTGAGGGCATTTATGCACACAATCGGGTGTTTTGAAGTTCCCAGAGGCTGTCTGACAAGGAGTGTCTTTGTCTCTCTCTCTTAATCAAGAGGAGTGAAGCAGAAAGGTCCTACCATAGGAATTCTGTCTGAAAGTTTCCCTAGGTCCTGGGGCAAAACCAAAGGATACCTATTGTGGTGGCTTCCAGACCAAGTCACCGCTCAGCACACACATTCTCACCTCTGGGAAAGCAACTGCTCCATATCAACTCCTTCCCTTTGCTGGTAGTCCTTCAGAAGGCTATGGGCATGATCTAGACTAGCAAAGTCTCTGTAGTCATCCTCATCTACGACACAGATGTAGTAGGGCAGGAACTGCAGCACCGTAGGAGAAATGGCCATCCCTTCCCCTGGAGGTGCAGAGTGAGCAGCAGGCAGGAGGGTGTCCTGCAGACAGAGGTCTTGGAGCTGGGCAGTCCAGTCTACATCTTTGGCACTGTTAGAATCATTTCCAAAACCTAAGGTAAGCTGTGGTGGAGGCACCTCCTCACTGTCACTTCCCCAGTCATCTGCACCTTCGCACCAGTTCTCAGCGGCAAGGTCATTTTCCTGTTTCAGGAAGAATATCCAACGCATAAGGTCTAAGCATTTCATCTATTCCTCTGGCTTTAGTCACCCATTCCTTCACCTTCCTGAGGGAGCCTTCACACAGCCCCTTCCTCTCTTGGCACACTCCAATTCAACTTCTTGGACTCCTATCTACTCAAAGCATGTCAGAAGTGACTTGAGGCCAGGGATTTAGTTCAGTAGTTTTGTCACCTCCTGCACAAGCACAAGGACCGAGTTCGATCCCCGGTACCAAAAAAAAAAAAAAGAAAGAAAAAAGGAATTGCTTGAATCCTCATCTTTTCAGGGACGGTGTGACAGATGTAACACGTGGTTTCTTTAACCATGTGATTCAAAATCTTTTGTGCTTCATGTATTGCACAGACTGAAAGAATATTTTCCAGACTTCCTGACAACTAGGGTTTCAATATGATCAGAGGATTGCTAATCGGGTCTATTAGTGAAAAACAATCCTGAGACAGAATGAAGTGGAAAGAAATGCCATGAAGCAAAATCGAGGCAGTAAACCAAGGATAAAGAACCAAGAGTTCTGTGACAAGGGCAGCTTCCAGTTCACAAGACTACACTAAAGCTTCCTGACTGCACAAGATGTAGCCTGGTAGATGGGTCAGTTCTGAGATGTTATTCTGGAGGTCATTCCTGAAATAGCTTCCTTCAGCCTAAGCAGTTAATAAAGATTTAAATCCCCAGGGGATTTAGCTCAGTGGCACGCTGTCTGCCTCGAAAGCGAAAGGTACTGAGTTCAATCCCCGGTACCAAAAAAAAGATTTAAATCCTTGTGTTACATCTCTCAGATGAAAAGGGTCAAAGTGTTTTTCTACGACTTGAAATTGAACCCTGAATCCTTGTTATTCCTTGTATTGCTAGTATTATGCCTGGCACATATAAATATCCAGTGTATAAAGAGACCTCAGCAGGCAAAGGGAGGATGAATTTTGTTGTGCAGTTACCAACCTGCCTGACTTTTCAATTCAATAAACTTGCATTTTATCTTATTAAATGTGTTATAGATGTACATATATTCATATCACATTATATATACTAAACATATATATGAATTACACCCGTGCATTTTCCCGGCAGAAAAAAATCAGTAAACCAGGGCTGGGGATTTAGCTCAGTGCTTCCGGCGCCTGCCTCGCAAGTGCAAGGTCCCGAGTTTGATCTCCGGTACAAAAAAAAAAAAAAAATCAGTAAACTATGTGTCACGAGACCTTCAGTGTAAATTAAAAGAACTCACAAAGCCTGGAATTTAGCTCAATGGTTTCGCCGCCTGCCTCGCAAGCGCAAGGTACTGAGTTCGATCCCCGGTACCAAAAACAAACAACCAAGGTTTACAGCGAGGCCTGGTGGCGCACGCCTGTGATCTCAGCACTCTCTCAGCATTCCGGAGGCTGAGGCAAAAGGAGGGTGGGGAGTTCGAGGCCAATCTGGGCTACATAGTGAATTCAAGGGCAGCCTGAACTACACAGCGAGACTCTGTCTCAAAACAAAAAACAAAACCAAACCTCACGGCTTAAAAGTTTGTCTTAAAAGACATTCTGAAAAATATTCTCCACTGTATTCCAACAAAACATAACATGGCAAACCACTTTACCTGAGCGTCCTGCGTCTCTTTCTCTCGCACCTCCAGACACTGGGAGCGGAACACCTTCCAACTTCAGGGTAGACACACGTCCGTGAGTGCTTCAACCAGCCAGTCCCAACCCAGCGCGCCTCCCCAGACACCGCCCTCTCGCCCTGACGCCCGGGGGCGGCTCCAGGGCTTATCTCCCGCCTACCTGCGCGCCCCGCAGTCGCCGCACCTAGGGCGGGCGCAAGCGAACACATGCAGTTGACGATGAAAGGGGGAGCCTTCCAGGGGGCAGTACACCTGCACGACCAGGACGAGTGGCTGCCTGCAGCGTTCACACTCCGGCCTCGGCGCTGCTAAGGCGGGCAGGACGTCCTGAGGAGGGGGTGTGAAACGCTTCAGATCCCGACTCTACACCAGGACCTCGCCCACTTCCTCACTGCGTGCCCTTCACCAGCACCCGCCGACCCTGGCTCCGGCGCCAGTCCTCACCGGAACGCCACCCAACTTGCTAGCAGTCCAGGAGCCCGGCCCCGTGGAAGTGCCTTGCACTGCTACGTCCCGAAGCCCTAATAGCACTGACTTCCCAGACGCCGCCATGACAACCGGACACGCACGTGAAAAGAAAAACTACGGTAGCTGAGAGGTTGCACCTCTCTGCGCAGGCGCGCTGTCCACATCACGGAGATGGCCCCGCCCCGGATTACTATCCGCAGGGGATGCTGATTTACTGTAAAGCGCTTGGACTCGGTTTCCCGAATGTACAAATAGCTGATCTCATGGGCTCGAGGTCCGAGGGCCCGCAGGAATTACGTATCTCCTAATGTCCTGCGGAAGAAAACACACTATCTGCTAGGAAATTAGCCTTACCAGCAAACAATTGTAGGACATATAATGGTATCTACAGATAACAAAAGGAAAGAAATTTGAGAGATAAACTGGGTGTGGTGGTGCATGGCTGTAATCACAGCATTCGGAAGACCGAGACAGAAGGATCACCACGAGTTCGAGGCCCGCCTGGGCTACATAGTGAGTTCAAGGCCGGTCTGAACTATACAGGGAGACCCTGTGTCAAAACAAAACAAAAAAAATCGAGGTATATACACTGTAATGCATATAGATAAAATGATAATATCTGCTGTAACAAAAAGGGGTGTTATCGATGCAATAAAATTGTCATGAGCCGGGGATTTAGCTTAGTGGTTTCGCCGCCTGCCTCGAGAGCTCAAGGACCGGAGTTCGATTCCCGGTACCAAAAAATAAAAATAAAATGGGCCATGAGTTCATAATTGTTAACATTTAGTGCCAGACATGGAAGGAGGTTTATTATACTATTCAACTTTTATATGTCGGTAATTTTGTGTAATAAGAGTCTTCAAATGGCTGTGATACAGCATGAATGAATTTGAAACTCTTGCTGAAGAAGCCAGACAAAAGGCTGTGTTCTGGGAAGAGCAAAATTTAAGTGAAAGAAACCATATCAATGGTTCCCAAGATTTAGGAGGTCAGAATTGATCACAGAGGGGTCCCATGAACTTCTGAGGTGAAGAAAATGCTAAATGTCCCAATTGTGGTCATTGATTATATACTACATTTGTCAAAACTCAGGGGCCTGGGATTTAGCTCAGTGGTTTCGCCGCCTGCTGCACAAGTGGAAGGACCCGAGTTCGATCCCCGGTACCACACACACAAAAAAAACAACTCAGAACTGTTTACCAAAGAAAGGTGAGTTTTACTACATGTAAATTATACCTCAATAAACCTGACATTTAAAGAATTTAAATTGTGGCTGGGTGCACTGGCACATGCCCATAATCCCAGCACTCTGGGAGGCTGAGGAGGCAGGAGAATTCCAAGTTCAAGCCCAGCCTGCACAATTTGAGACCCTGACTCAAAATAAGAAATAAAAAGGGCTGAGGATGTAGCTCAGGGCAGAGGCCCTGGGTTTGACTTCCAGTACCACAAATAAGTAAATACATTTAAAAACATAAATTGCAAAAGCAGTATTTCAAGATTCATATCATGCCGTGTAAATGAAATGTTACCAAAGATTTACACTTCAAAGGAAAAAGCACCAGCCTTTTGATGTTTTGTTCTGGCCCCAGCCAGGACCTGAAGATGAAACCAGGCCCCTGACACCCTTAAAAGGCTCTAACATTGATGAAGTCTAACATTGATGTTCACTTCAGTTTTAACCAAAGAGGTTGAATGAATTAGCAAATATATACAACCTTGTTACTTTAGCTAACGTTTCCCAAGAAATATATACATATATGTGTATTTAATATATATCTTCTGTGATTGTATACCTATATGTAATATATATATATAATTCTTTTGTTCTGGAGATCAAACTCAGGTGTACTGTGTCACTAAATTACATCTCCAGAACTTTTTTTTTGGTTTTTTGAGGGTCTCACTATGTAATTCAGGCTTTCTCCAATTCTTGGCAATCCTCCTGCCTCAGCTTCTGGAGTACTGGCATTACAATAGTCTCCCACCACACCTAGCAGCAGCACTTACTTTTGGTTTTGTTTTGGGTACAGGGTCTTGCTATTTAGTTCAGGCTGGTGCTGAATCCACGATGTAGCCCAGGCTGGCCTCAAACTCGCAGCAGTCTTTCTGCCTCAGCCTCCCAAGTGCCAGGATTACAGGCATGCACCACCATGCCTGCCAGCACTTACTCTTGAGGCAGAGTCTTGCAGAATTGCTCAAGCTGAACTCAAATTTGAGATCCTCCTTCCTCATCCTCCCAAGTAGCTAGGATTACAGGTGTGTACCACTGTGGTCCACTAAACATTGATTGACTAATATTTATTTACTTGTTTTTTGAGACAAAAGTCTCACTATGTAGTTCAGGCTGGCCTTGAACTCACTAAGTAGTCCAGGCTGGCCTCGAACTCAGTGATCCACCTGCCTCAGCCTCCCAAACGCTGGGATTATAGGTGTGTGCTACCATGCCATGCTAAAGATTTATTTTTAAAATATTGTAAGAAATTGACTTCCAAAAAAAAAGAGAAATTGACTTCCAAAATTTTTTTCAGTACTTAAGATTGAACTCAGGGCCTCGTATATGCTAAGCAAGTACTCTATCACTCAACTACAGCCCTAGACCTTTTGAAAAATGTTATTTTAAATTGCTTCTGAGCCTTTTGACTAAGATCAAGTGTAAAAAATGTTATTTTGAGAATCTTGCTTAGTTGTCCAGGCTAGCCTGCACTCCAATCCTCCTCCTGCTTCAGCCTTCTGAGTAGCTGGGATTGTAGGCACGCCTCCCCCTGAAATACCCTCCCCATCAAAGTGTGATTATAGCATGGAGGATACATCAAGATATTGGTTGCTACTAGCCAGGTAAAAATGCCCAAAAGATTCCAGGATTCCATTTTTTTTTTCCTTTTGGCAGTGCTGGGGATTGAACCCAAGACCTTCACGTTATCTTCCTAGCCATATATATATTTCTCTATATATTTATATAATATATAATACATATATATATAAATACATCTCTCTCTCTCTCTCTCTCTCTCTCTCTCTCTCTCTCTCTCTCTCTCTATATATATATATACACACACTTTTTGGAAACAGGGTCTCAATTTGTAGTTCAGGCTGGCCTTGAACTGGGCAATCCTCCTGACTCTGCTCCCCGAGTGCTGGGATTACAGGCATAAACCACCACACCCAGGTTAAATATCTGTTTTTTTCGGTACTGGGGATTGAATTTGGGACCTTGCAATGGTGAGGCAGGCAGTGGAACCACTGAGCTAAATCCCCGGCCCTTTTTAAATATTTTTTTTGAGACAGGGTCTAGCTAAGTCAATAAATTGCCCAGGCTGGGCTCAAACTTGAGATCTTCCTACTTCAACTTCCCATAGTTCTGTGATTACAGCTGTGCACCTCCATGCTCTGCTCAGGGGCAATTTTTAACATTATTCTTATTACTGATGTTATCATGGAAGGCTAGGAACAACTTGTTGTTTGTTTCAGGACCTGAATGAATTCGAGAAGAGTTGGGTTGGGATCTCTTGAGTAACACCAGATGTGGTACAATTTACATTTAAGGAAGCACAGAATGAAGATGTTGAAAGCTACTTCAAGACTTAGAACTGGCAGCCAAGACAGAAGTACAAACTGCAAACGATGACAGTGCCAGAGATAAGGGGCAGGACAAGTCAAGGCTGAGGGATATGTGGCCACTGACCTGTCAGTTCCCTCTCCATAAGACATGGGCTTGGCAGCTGGCCTAGAAGAGCACATGGTCCTGCTACTAACAGATCATTCATCTGAAGCTACATTAGCCTTAGAGGGTCTCTGCCAAGTTGAAACTTTCTTTTGCCCTATAAACTGTTTTGCTTGTTCTTTTTTTTTTTTTCTCTTTTTTTGCTACTGGGGATCAAATTCATGACCTTGAGCTTTCGAGGCAGGGATGGTACCACTGAGCTAAAACTCCGAGCCCACGGGGCCAGGGATTTAGCTCAGTGGTTTCACCGCCTGCTGCGAAAGTGCAAGGACCTGAGTTCGATCCCCGGTACCAAAACAAAAAACAAAAACAAAAAACTCTGGGCCCAGCTTGTTCTTTAAAAAAATGAAAAAGAGAAAAAGTCTTGCAGAGGCATTTCCCAGCTTCCAGCATATCCAGAAGGATCTTGCTATGGATCATCTAGCAATTGAAAGTCACAGAGCAACAGAGGATGCCGCCACCTGGGCCTCCTGTAGTAGAGATCTGATGAATCTCGAGCTTGGTGGTGGAAGACAATGGCCCATGAGTGTGGAAGACTCCTTGCTCTGTAAGAAGTGCCTGTGATAAGAGGAAGCCTTCACTTCATCAGTTGTATTAAAAAGGTGGAGAGGCTAGGGGTGTAGTTCAGTTGTAAGGCATTGCTTAGCATGCAAGAGGCCATGGGTTCCACTGACAACATCAAAAAAAAAAAGAGGTGGGCCACCAGGGACCTCAACAGAGCTTGATGGTCAAAGAATGCCTTTACAAAGATCAAGAGGAAAGGGCATTTACTTTCGGAGCCAAAATAATTATTAAACAACAAAAAATCAGAAGAAAATCTCCAAAACAAAAAAATCAATTCAAAGTGCCAATTTCTCAGTGTATTTTTAGTGGACATTTGTGTATGTGTGGTCACTTGTGTCATCAGCCTATCTCAGGCCTGTAGGTGTTTGCCTTCCCCACCTAAGGGCAGAAAATACCAATGCTGGCTGTGTCTATTTTGGGGAAGGCGCGTCAAGCTAGAATGCAATTCAGAAGAGAGTGACCCAGGAACAGGTGAAGCAGCAGTAGTTTCCTCACCTGGACCTCTGTGAATCAGAGGCTGAGAGCCAAACCTCTTGCCTGCCCACCAATGCCTGCTGTCGTTTTTTAGGTGGTACTCAGGACTGAACTTGGGCCCTCCTGAGTGCTGGGCAAGTACTCTTCTACTGAGCTACATCTCCACACCACCTTTTCTTTTTTGAAGGAGAAAGGGTCTCATTACAATACTCAGGCTGGCCTCAAACTTTCAATCCTCTCGCCTCAACTAAGTAGATGAAATTATAGGCATGTGCCACCATACCCAGCTTGTTCACTGACTCTAAATAAAAATCCTTTTCTCCTTAATTGGCCGAAAATGCTATTTAATATCTTTTGGGGTTTTTTTCTATTTTTTGAGACAGGGTCTCACTTTGTAGTCCAGGCTGGCCTCAAACTTTCAGCCATCCTTCCTCAGCCTCGAGGGCTTTTTTGGAAGGTAGCTAAATCTGGAATATGTGATGCTGGGATTACAGGCCTGTGATTACTAAACCACTACATATAAGTGATTTGTTTGGCACCGCCCTAATCCCCGAAGTCTGAATAAAATAAAAGGAGCAGAAAGACAGTTAAGGTTGTTACTTTTGCTGCTTCTGCCATATGCCACTGTGCCTTGGAGCGAGCTGATTATGGACTGAAACCTCTACCAACAGTTAGATAAACCCTTTCCTCTTTGAGTACTGAGTATTTAAATTTTTTTTTTTTTTTTGGCACCAGGGATCGAACTCAGGTCCTTGCGCTTGAGAGGCAGGCAGCGGAACCACTGAGCTAAATCCCCGGCAAGTATTGGGTATTTTGTCTCAGGAGCAAGTGGAAAGTAACTAAGACAGATGCCCTCCTGATTGCCTACCTCACCTCAAGTCTTCCACTGTGGGCCTGCTCAGCACTAACAGTCAAGTGTCAATCAAGGTACACTGTTCTTCCACCAGGGACTCTGACCACCGTGTGAAGCCCCATCTTAGCAAACAGTAAGAAGCTGAGCCCACATCCTCCTTTATGGTATCTTTATTTTTCTACTTGGGACATGAACCATGTGAACACAGGTCCGAAAAATCAGCTGCACTGAAGCATTTCAGCCGATTGAGAACAGGGAGAATGGGCTGGATGGGTGGGGTGGTTAATTCCAGACCAGCTTCCCCAAAGGGCTTGTGGTCCAAGCCTGCTAGTTGCTCAGGCAGGGAGGTGCAGGACCATGCAGTGCAGACTACAGCAAGGAGGAACAAGTCACAGCTGGGGCTGCACTGTATTTATTCAGTTCTGGCCTCCCGCTGCTGTTTGATGAAGTTGATCAACCCATTGGTGGAAGAATCATGAGAGGTCACTGCATCGCTGCCATCAAGCTCAGGCTCAATTTTCTTAGCCAGCTGCTTTCCCAGCTCCACTCTACCAGGAAGGAGAGGAAGAGGAGGATGAGTGGAGTTTTGGTGTTGGTGAAATCCTCAAGCCAACCTATCGGTATTCCCCATCCTCCCTAGTCGGCAACTCACCCCCACTGGTCAAAGCTGTTGATGTCCCAGATGACACCCTGGACGAAGATCTTGTGCTCGTACAGAGCTGCAGAGGTGGCAGACAGTGCACATTAGGACCTCCCTCGCCCTGTCCAAGTGACTCCAAGCCAGTTATGCCCCCTACTCACCAATCAAGGCTCCAAGGATAAATGGTGTTAACTTGGTGAACACAATAGAGTTGGTTGGGCGATTTCCTTCAAAGACCTTCAGGAAACAACAAAGAATGTCCTCAATCCCAGTCCCCAAACCCCTAAAACAGAACCCGAGTGTCTGGGAGGAGGGCACTTCCCACTGTACAGGACACACCAGACCCACTGCAAACCCATGCCGACTCTGCAATAGCAGCCCTCTAGCCCCAGCACGGCCGTTCAGCAGTGCTGACCTTGTGTGGCAACAGCTTCTCAAGATCCCTTGGACTCTTTCCAGCAGCCTGGAGCTCCTTCCGGGCCTCCTCAGTCGATTTCCCCTTCATCAATGCTTCAGTCTGGGCTAAGAAGTTGGCCAGGAGGATCTGACAAGAGAGATGTGCAATCACACTTGAAAACACTGCTGGAGCTTCAAGCCAAGGGACAGGACCATCTGGCAATTCCTGAGCCAGGTTAGTTCCTGTGTGGGCACTCACTGCATAGTGCAGCTGGAGCGATGGAGGATGGAAGGGCACATCCGATGGCACCACAGGGCAGGTAGCAATACTATCCACTCCTCGAAGGGATATGCACCACTTGCCAAGGGCTCTGCTGGCAACTGTGCCAACATCTACCTTTTAGAACCCTAAGAGGGGCCTGGGGATATAGCTCAGAGGTAGAGAGCACTGTCCTAGCGCGAACAAGGCCCTGGTTTCCATTCCCAGGACAGGAAGGGGAAAAAAAAAAAAGACCCTACAAGAGGTGTCACCTCTCTTCTCCTCAAGTCAGCACCACTGGATAACAGAACTACAGAGGGAAAGAATCAGAATCCAACTCTCGCTCACTGAGGAAAGCCTTAGCCAAATAACCCCAAGCTGCTCTTCACACCTAAGACAACCACAGGATATCCTCTTTAGGGACTTAGGTTGGGAACTAGATGCTTCCCCGTTTGCTGCTGTGACAGGCAGGACCTTGGCTCCACGGTCTTTGTCCATTCCTGCTATCCCCATGCATGTTACACCACATGGCAAAACGAGTTTTACACATGGAACTGAGGTTATGGACATTAAATAGGGAGATTATTCTGGATGAGCCCAGTCTAATCACCTGGGCTCTTACAAGTAACAGAGGAAACACAACAGGAAGGCAGAGTCAGTCAGAGATTTAGGAGAGAGTTAAGGATTAAAAAACAGCTGGGCATGGTGGCACACACCTGTAATCCCACCCCTCAAGAGGCTGAGGCAGGAGGTCTAACAAGAGTTTGAGGCCAGCCTGGGCTACATAGTGAGATCTTGTCTCAAAAAAAAAAAACAAACTCTAGGAGGCTGAGGCAGGAGATTGTGAGTTTGAGTTCAACCTATCTGTGCAACTCAGCAACCTAGCAAGAGCCCATCTCAAAGTTTAAAAAAATAATAAAAAGGGCTGGGATGCAGCTCAATGTGAAAGCCCTGCTTTCAGTCCCTACTACTGCAAAAAAACTTCATCTGCCATTGCTGGTTCCAGGCTGAAAGGAGCCACAGCTAGGGAAAGCAGGTGGCTTCAGAGCAAATCCTTATGAGGTCAGGGCGTGGTTTGAGCCTGAGAGAGCACGTGAGGGTCGGGACAGAGTTCTCACCTTGTGATGCAGACCCTTCCGGATCGGATGCTGGGTCTGGACCGGGATGAGGAAGTCACAGGGTATCATCTTGGTGCCTGTAAAGGACACTGGTTACCTACCCAACCCCACCCCATGAGAGACTTAAGTGCAAAGCCCCTGCCCGGGCCTAATGGGCCCTACCTTGGTGGATGAGCTGGTAGAACGCATGCTGGCCATTGGTCCCTGGTTCCCCCCACACGATAGGGCCCGTCTGGTGGTCCACACGGACGCCCGGCTTGGTGATGTACTTCCCGTTGGACTCCATGTCACCCTGGAAAGGGGACAGAAACTCAGCCCCCACGTAAGTTTTGCTCCTTCATATATATCCAAGTGCTGCCTAGGATGTCCCAGGTCTGCAAGCTAAACTTGCAACTACTGTTGTCCACAGGCTTTCTGACCTAGACCACTCTGCAGGAAGGACCCATGATCAGAACTTGGGTCTAGAGGCGGGTAGATGACCTCCAAGAAACAAAATTTGGGGCTTAGGGGTTTAGTTTACAATTAGTATACAGGCATGCCAGGTCTGATCCTCAGCACCCAAACAAAAACAAAACAATAAAAGCAACAAAAAATAAAGTTGGTAACAAAATCTTCAAACGATTTCTTAAAGGACAGTCAGGCTCTTTGGAGGGTGTCACCTCAGCTAGATGCTGGCCCTTGGGTACCCACTTGGACCCTGGTCATGGCAACCCTCAACCAAGCAGCTGGGACCTGGGGAATTTAACCCTCCTTCAATAGCAGGATTCACCTTCTGATGCTGGAGATCATCTACTGAGCCTGCCCCAAAGAGCCCGAAGACGCAGGGGAGGGACTAGTCTTACTAAAGAAAGCAGGGACAAATGTTGGAGGGCTTTCTGGGACAGATGGAAGGGCTGCTCATCTCTGGGGGTTCTGAGGATTCCAGGGGCACAGAGATCTGTGGAGCCCACAGAGGTAGCACAGATGGGGTTTTAACCCTTTTTTTTTGAGCAATGAAGGCAGCCCCAGGTCACTAGCTCACAGCCTCACCCTGTGTTAGGCATGCCAAGTGACATCAGCTGAGACACATGCCTGGAGCCAAGCCACCACTCAAGTGGCCAGGGCACTACAATAGCCAGTCATGCCCCAACACAGCAGTCAGACTCAGCTGACACTAAGATGGATCAAGTCTTGGTGGGCAAGATGCACTGAGTTGGAGAGAGGGGCACAGGTGGGACCTGGCCAGGCCCATGGCCAAGGAGTTTCTGGAGGACCAGGGCCTGTGGACCTCTGGGGACCCAACAGGCCGTACCCTCTCCAAGGGCTGGCCTGGCAGCTGGTACCTGCTGGAAGTAGGCAGGAAAACGGTGCAGGTACTGGTCATAGGGCAGCAAGGCCTGTGTCTCACACCCAAAGCAGTTGATGTACCAGACTCCCAGCAATGCCAGCAAGGCCGGGGCATTCTTTTCCAGGGGCGTCGTTCGAAAGTGCTGATCCTGAAACAAGACCAGGGTGGGCAGGAGTTGAGCAGCTGCTGCGCAGGGACAGAGGAGCTGGACTGACACACACATCTCCGGCCACTCAGCACTCACCATCCAGTGAGCCCCAGAGAGCAGCTGCTCGAAGTTGTCAAAACCTGCAACACAAAAGCAGCGTCATCAGAAATAGCCACACCCCTTATTCTCCTAGCAGTGGGTACAGCTTCTTCTGGAACCAAGAAAGGCTGGATGTGGAGCTGGAAGAAAACTGCGCCTGGGAGAACTGGGCCCTGTAGAAAGCCTTTCTAATCAAGAGTTGGCCTTGAGCACAGAATCACATCTAGCTTGCCCTAGGACCAGAGACCAACAGATCTGTGGTTAGGAGAGACAGAGAAAGGCCAACCTGCAACCCAAAAGAAAACTCAAGCCTCCTTTCTTTCCCTCCCTCCCAGACCTGAAAGAAATGTACCAGCTAAGAGCAGAGAGGCCAGCAGCCCCAGCTTGGGGACAGCAAGGTGCTCAGGGACACAAGAGCTCCCTCCCCTGACCTCAGATTGCTATATCCTCACCCTTGGGGGCTACAAGGCTCAGAAACACACACTCACCCACGTGCAGGGCGATGGAGAGTCCGATGGCCGACCACAGCGAGTAGCGTCCGCCTACCCACTAGGAGAGACAGGAAAAGGTGCTGAGGGGGGGCCAGCACACCCCGCCCCCCTCCCTCCTGCCATCAACTTGACCCGGGAGAGGTGCAGCCCAGGGGGCCTGGGCCAAACCCACCTCTGGTAAGCAAGACAGCAGGCCATGCGCTGGCGACTCTCTGGGCCGACCAACAAGGCAGACTACACATGGGACTGACCAGAGCCGCAGACTTGACCAAACACCTTACCATGGCTGATCTTGTCTCCTGGAAGACCCACAGCCTGGTACCTGTGCCTAGCTCACCTCCTCCGACACTGACATACACAGAGTCTTGTACCTGTGCCAGCTCCTGCCTCCTCAGATACTAGCAGACCTACTGCTTCCTACCTGTGCTTAACCTGCCTCCTCAGACACTGACAGACAGAAAGTCACATACCTGTGCCTACCTCCTCCTTGGACACTGGCAGACCCAGTCTCATACCTGTGGTTCCCCTGCCTCCTCAGACACTAGCAGACTCAGAACCCCATACCTGGGCCTCACCTGTCTCCTCGGACATTGGCAGACCCCGTCTCATACCTGTGTCTCCCCTGCCTCCCTGGACACTGGCAGACTCAGAACCCCATACCTGGGCCTCACCTACCTCCTCAGACACTGGCAGACCCAGTCTCATACCTTTGGTTCATCTGCCTCCTCGGATGCTGGCAGACCCAGAGCCCCATACCTGGGCCTCACCTGCCTCCTGGGACATTGGCAGACCCAGTCTCATACCTGTGCCTCCCCTGCCTCCTCTGATGCTGGCAGACCCAGAGCCCCATACCTGTGCCTCACCTGCCTCCTTGGAACCTGGCAGACCCAGTCTCATACCTGAGCCTCACCTTCCTCCTGCAACACTGACAGACCCAGAGTCCCATACCTGTGCCTTACCTGCCCTCTTGGTCACTGACAAACCCAGAAACTTATACCTGTACCTCCCCTGCCTCCTTAGACACTTATATATCCCTTCTTGGACACTGACTAACCTAGAGCCTTGTACCTGTGCCTTCCTTGCCTCCTTAGACATGGACAGAGCCTACCCTACCTCCTCAGATGCTGGAAGACACAGAGCCTCATACCTGTTCCTGGCCTGGCCTCCTTAGACACATGAAAGACCAAAGCCTCATACCTGTGCCTGTTTTTTCGCCTCCTCAGACAATGACAGGCCCAAAGCCTCATACCTGTGACTGGGCCCAGGCCCAGCATCTCATACCTATGCCCAGGTACAGTTCCTCAGACCCTGACAGACTCAGCACCCCCTACCTGTGCCTGGTCTTGCCTCCTTGGATACACAGACCTTGTACCCACCATGTGGTCTTGGCAAGGCCATTCTGTGACCAAGCCTGCTTTCTTGAACAATGACCCAATGTTTCCTACCTTTACTAGGCCCTGCCTCATCAGATCCTGACAGAACCAGAACCTCCTACCTAAACTCATTCCCGACTCCTTGGGGAATACTGACAGACCTTGAACCTTGGGCCTGGGCCTCCTGGGACACAGGCCCAGTGCCTTATACCTGGGCTTGACTGATCTTCTCAGCCTTGGTGTCAAGACACACCTAGGCCTACGGTTCACACTGTGCCTTCTCACGCCTCACCTGCAGACTACACCGTATTATCAGAATCTTTGGAGCTCCATGCACATCTTCCCAGCAACTATTTATGGAATACCATTCCTAGCACAGGCAACACAAGCAGTTAGTAGGGGACAGAGATAAATAATCATGCCAATAAATGTGAACTTGGGAACTTGGGAAAAGGTGAATATGGTGCAGAGACCAGTTATAAAAGAAATCTGCCAGGTGCTTGAACTACATGTGAAGAATAAGCAGGCAAGCCAGGCGAGGTGGTACATGCCTGTAATCCTAGCACTTGGGGGGATGAGGCAGGAAGACTGCTGTGGCTTCAAGGCCAGCCTAGGCTACATAGTGAGTTGAAGACCAGCCTGAACTACATAGCAAGACCTTTTCTCAAATAACAACAAAAAAGAACCAACCAAACAAATAAACAAACAGAATGAGCAGGCATTATCCACAGGAGCACTGGACTTCACCCTTCATCCCCAGTTCTCTCAGGGATCGTCCAGTGTGAGAAGACTTCTAGATGCAAAGCACAGGCTTTAGCATGAACATCCAATGGTTAGCTTGGTATTAGGGCTCAGTTCTCTCCTGGCGGCCTGCTGAGAAAGCTAGGCAGGAGGAAGCATAGCACAACAGAGAAGATGAAGGAAGGAGTGAGGACTGGAGGGTCAAAGCGGAACCAAAGCTGGAGAACTTGAGTCTGTGGGTGAGATGAGAATGAAGCCCAGAAAACATCTGCAAGCCCCAGTGGTTATCTAGAAAATGGCATGACTATGAGTGTGGAAAATTGATGTGGTGAGTTCAGTCAGACAGGATGGACTAGAAGAATGAGAGAAGTGTGGCCCAGAGGTTCCTGGCTTGGACAGTAAGATGAACTGAGGGGTCCGTCACCTGAAAGAGTCCAGGTTTTGGGGAACCTTACCTGATGGACACAGTCCCACAGACCACACTGTACTTGACAAAGCCTCTGACATCTTACCTGACAGACTGTTCTAGAAACTGGACCTGAACAGGGAGCCAGCCCTCAGACTGACAGACCCAGGCTCTAACCTTGCCTGCGACCGGGTCCTCAGATTCCGCTTCTAGGACAGCCCAGCACTGAAGGCATCTGACCTGAGTCAATCACCTTCAATCTGCAGACACAGTTTCTAGACCTTACCTTCACCTGCAGCGGGGCTCTCATACCATTCCTTAGTTGGGTGGATGTTCTGTGCCTCCCGCCCCAGCCCACCAGACCTCACCTTATCTTACCTCATTTGGACCACTAGGACCCTATGCTAACAAGAAAGCAATGCTGCAGAGCAGTCTTGACTGTTTATGGATCCTCAGACTTCTGCACTGCCTGAGTGCTGCCTGTCAGTATGACCAGGGTGCTGAGAACGGGCAGATGCTCCCACTTAGGGCATTCTACCTGATCCTAGATGCTCCTGCACCTCACTGGCCATATCTAGGTACACATTGATCACTACGGTTTTCTGACCTACCTGTGCTTATCCTACCACTGAAGGCCACACCTGTGTCTGACTCTCCTCAGGCTTGGCCAGCAACACCAATTACGCATTCCTGGGCTGGACCTTGCCCCACCCACTTTACCTAACAAACCTGGGGAATCTTTGTGTCTGAACCCAGGTAGCAAGGACCCACCTCAAAACATGTTTATATACCTCTTCCAGACTGCCTCTGGATCCACAGCAGACTCACTGACAGAACCAGCACTGGGCACAGATGCAGTGGCTTCACCTGGGAGACCTAGCTCTGTCTTCCTGTGTCCAACTCCACCGCCTCTGCTGCAGGCTTATATACCTGGCAGAACCAGACATCGCAGGTGATAGATAGCCAGGCTTTACATACCTGTCTGTCGCTAACTTTGACCCCTCCAGCTCAAGTGACAGACTCAGGTCCAGATCCCTGAGCCCAACTCAGAGTCCTCATGTCTTCCTAGAGATCCAGCTCTGTGTACATGGCCCTCACCCCAGCTATCTCTATCCTGTCTGGCTGAGGAGACAGCCAACAAATCCAACAGTAAAAATTTCAGCTTATTGTCTGCATCAGCATCTCCACCAAGACCTCATCAGCACACCTGTGCTGCAGAGACCACCTGAGATGTGTTCCACCGATTTATGACTAAGCCATGCTCCCCAGACCTAACCTCTAAGATCTGGCTCAACACACCCCAGCCAAAATCATGCCCCAAGGACTTCATTTGCAAGACCCTAGGTGTACCTACCCCTATCTCCAAAGTCCTTGCTTGAGAGAGCTCATATCTATACAAAGGGCTTGCAGACCTCCTGCAAGATCCATAGCACTGCAGACTCCAGGGCTGTAAGTCTGACCTGAGAGGCTGCCCCACTCACATAAGCCTCACCATGAAGGTCCTGTGTCTCGATTAATCTCCGAGAAAAACAATACTACCTACCTGTGTTCAGCCTTCAAGATAGCATCTGGCAGACCAGCTCTGCCTACTTGTATAAGACCCTGGCTCTTCAGATCATACCTGGTGGACCAGCTCTGCCTACCTGTACATGTCCCTGGCTCCTGAAACCATACTTGACAGGGCACTCCACCTACCTGGGCTTGGTCCTGGATCCTTGTACTGGATTTGATGGGTTACCTCTATCTATCTGTGGCTTGATTTTGGTGTCCTGACCTGACCTGGCAGGCCAGCTCTGTCTACCTGTCTTTGAGCCTGGCTTCTGAGACTTCACTTGATAGGCCAGCTCTGCCTATCTATGCTTGACCCTAAGTCTTCATACTTTACCTAGAGGGCCACCTCTGCTTACTCATGTCTGATCTAGCTCTTCAGACCACGCATGAAAGGCAAGTTCATACCTGAGCCTAACTCTGGATCCTCATAACGCACCTGGACAGCCAGCTTTACCTACCTGAGCCTATGGTTCTTTACACGTCATCACAAAGACCCAGGTTTATACACATTTGCCTAAGTCTACTTTCTAAAAAAGCCTACTTTACCTACCTGTATTCAGAACCCCAACTCTTCAGGCCTCAAGAGCATCTGGCAGACCAGCTCTGCTTATGCGCCTTGGACACTTCTTCCCAGACAACACCTGGGAAGTGGCTCTGCCTACCTGGATGGGAACCTGGGTCATCAGACCATATGTAGATGACCTGGCTCCACCTACCTGTACACGAACCTGGCTTTTCAGACCATACCTCATGGGCTAGCTCTACCTACCTCAGAACTCTGGTTCTTAACACAATACCTGGATGGTCAGCTTTGTCTACTTATGCAAGACCCTGGTTCCTCAGACCACATCTGGTTGGCCAGCTCTACCTACCTGAGCTTGACCTTGGGTCCAAGTACTGCCCAAGGTGGGGCAGCTCCACCTGCCTGTCCTTGCTGCTGGCTCCTGAGACTGCACTTGTTGGCAAGCATTCCCTTCCTGCACTTGATCATAGCTCCTGAGATAGCACCTGGATGGCCACTGTGCCTACCTGTGCCCCACACCTCAGTTGCTTATTCCTCATCCAACATGTTCACTTCTTCCTGCTCAGGCTTCACTATGACTTCTTGGCTCTCCTTGGACACAGCCCGTTGTGCAAAGCCTCCATAGGCCTTACCTGACAAGCCTTGCTCTGCCCACCTGCTTAACTCGCATCCCTCAGACTGGACAGATCCAAAGATACAAATCCGTGCCAGACACATGCTCCCTAGAACTTACCCATGAGGCCTGATTCCACACTGCCTGGCCACAGCTCCTCAGCCTCACACAAAAGGTAAAGGTTTTCCTACCAATCTCAACCTACCTGGGAGATTCACAGCTACTCATCTGTGCCAGATCCTAGTTTCTCAGATCTCAAACCTGTGAGACCCACTTCTCTCCACGTATCTTCCCTCCATTTCCCTAAGCAATCCAGTTCTTTCTAGATGACCCTAGTCCTGGTTCTCAGGTCTCACATGACAGAGCAGCTCTCCCTACCTATGCCTGAGCTCAAATGTGAAACAGAGGTTAATGAATTTAACCATGGCTTTTAGATCAACCTACCTTTGCTTGCCCTTGGTTTCACAGATCAGTTTACCTGACAAATTCTACCCACTGGGCTGGACCCCGCTTCTCAGACTTGGAAAACAAACTAGTGCCTACCTCATCAGCACTTCAGATCTTACCTGTGAGACCCCAAAGCACAAAACTGTCTCTCACCTTACTTCCTCAAGCCTCCCCTGCCAGACTTGCTGTACACACCTGTGCCAGACCCAGGTTTCATAAATTTTCCACATGGCTGCAGCTCTATATCCCCTTATCTGATGCCAGCTCTTCAGTATTTTCCCAGGGGGCCCTGGACCCCCCACCTGGCTATCATCACAGCTGCTTAGACGTTACTTGGCCCCAATTATGGATTTCTTTTATCCTCACTTATCAGACTCCGCTTTCCCTGCTCCTGCAGGGAAAACCCCTAGCTGTAGTTCCAATGCCTGTACCCAGTGAATCCAGTCCTATCTACCTGTGCCAAATCTGGCTCCTCAGATCACCCCGAAAAATCACACCACATTGAGATAGCACCTTTGTCTGATCCCAGCTCCTGAGGCCTCAGACATGGCCTAGAGCATACCTGATACCCCTAACCAAACAGACCTAACAGAGCCCTGCTGCTTACCTCGGCCTGCAGGGAACCTGGAGAGTACTTCCTGTGGCCAGTGTCTGGCTGACTCAGACCTCACACATTTCATCCTGTAGACTTGGATCTTTAGACCTTTATGTACCATAAGCCTCTCAAACTGCATTTTAGTTTAGATTTTGTTTGAAACAGGGCCTCATCATCTTTCAGGTTGCCCTTGGACTTGTGATCCTCCTGCCTGAGCCTCTCAAAGGTTGGGATTTACAGCTGTGCAAGCCCACACCTGACTCTAAACTGCAATCCTTTGGTGCACCCATCTATGTCTCTCCTGTCCCAGGTCCCCAGTCTTTACCCTTTATTATCAGGCACATTCCTACCTCTCCCTCATCTGGGCTCCTCAGCCAGACCTGCTGTCACAGACCACTCCTTGGACTTGTTAAGGATCCTCATCGGGCTCTGATACCCTGAGCTCTGCCCATCATACCTGGTCAGGATACAGAGAACCATGGGGTTGATCTCTGTTTGCCCACTCCAGGGTTCTCAACACCTTACATTTCACAACTATGAGAGAACCCCATGTACACACCTCTCCCATGTCCAGTTCTAGCCCTCTTCTCACACAGCTGGATTTAAGGACCTGGACATGACCATGGTTCCCCAGGCCTCACTGGATAGAACCATCTCTAAACACCTGTGTTCAGAATTCATATATCTTACCTTTCCTTGTCCGGGTTCTGTCTCCACATTCACTATACCTTTCCTGGCTCCTTAGGCTGAGTCCTGAATGACTCTAGTTTACCACAATACCTGCTTGACATACGACGCTGCTTCCTCGCACGTACCTACTTCTACTAGACTGGACTCTTCCGATCCCACCTAAGGGGAGCTCTGATCTCTCTGCCTGACCTCATGCTTCTATCTTGCCCAAGAGACCCTAGCTTCAGAGACTTCACCCATTCATGCCCTGGGCTCCTCAGATTATCATCTTCTTGATTCAGCAGTACCTACCCTAGTTCCTCCTCCAGGTGCTGTGCTAGGTGGCCCAGGAGGCCTCCACTGTTTCCACCTGGCCTCATTCGCCTGCCCTGGCCTCATGGTAATTCCTAGGCCTTCTGTGAAAGACCCACCCCTCTCCCTAAGTCACACCCCAACTCCTCCACACATGCTGGGCAGTTATGGACAGTGAGAACCCTGCTTGCTGTGTTCCTTGGCTGGCAGGGGCACCCACACATCCTTGCCCACCACCTGCTCAGGAACCAAATCCCAGGGAGGAGGTGGAAGGTGCCTTCTCTCCTTTTCCAGGCATGCAACATTTGTTAGAAGCTGCACAAGTTCCCCTCCGGGGTTCCTTAGCTGAGCCAGGGAATGCAGAAAATGCTCTGAGTGACTCTTCTCAGTTCTTCCAAGGATGGTACATAACTAGTCCCATTCTAGAAAGAAGTTAACTCATTATACACAAAGAATGGCTTTGTGGACTGGGGCTTCATTCTCTCCCAGACCCCAGCAGAAAAAGGCTTTTGGTTTGGTTTTTACAGTACTGAGGATTGATCCCAGGGCCTCTGCACTGAGCTATGTTCCCAGTCATATGTTTTATTTTTTTTTAATCTGAGACAAGGTCTCGCTAAGTAACTAAGTCAGCCAAGCTGGGCTCAAACTTGTGATCCTTCTGCCTCAGCCTGGCAGAGTGCTGGGATTACAGGGGTGGACCAATACACCTGGCAGAAAAAGGCTTTTAGAGTTTTCAAATAAGAAGGTTACTGCAGGTGCTTCCACCAAGCAGTCTCTACCACAAAGGCCAGTGAGACAATGCCCAAATGGGCAAGGCCTGCACGGGTATGTTTGCCACACCCACATGTTAGAACACTATGAGAATGTCCAGCCAAGCTCACCGCATCCACAGCATCCTTGCACCCCAAGCCCTCGCAGCACTGCTGCACTCAGGTAAGCTGCAAGAAAAGCTATTCAATTCTTGACTCCAGCAGAGGTTGAGTCCATGTGACCACCTCTCACCACAGAGCAGCTTGCAAGCTGTTACTTGAGGCAAGGTTTGCTGTGCAAGCTGCCCAGGCCTGGTACCTCCTCCCTGCCACCCTCCAGCTTCTATCTTTCCTTTCCCAGTCTACCAGGTCCCACCTTCTGCCTCAACCTGCCCCTTGCCCTTTACAGATTGTGGCTGTGGCTTGGAGAAAGGTCATCACTGAGAATAACTCAGCTCAGGGGCGGCTCTGGTTACCCGACAGTGGGTGCTGCTGGAAGGCACCCAGGGGACTGAAACCTGGCCCTCCACACTCAGCCCTGCTCCATGTGACGGTGGAGCCCTCACTCAACTGTAGCTCTCAACCTGAAAGCCTATCTGAGGGCCTCTGTGCCTTTCCCAAAGTTTAGCATGCACCAAGTGCTCAATAAATGCTGACCTGACCTCATGGACCCCTCCTCCATCTGTGGCTCAACAGCCATAAATTGGCAAAGGACACACTTCACCCAGCACAGGAAGTGCCTGTACTTACATCCCAGAACTCGAACATGTTTTGAGGGTCAATTCCAAACTCCTTCACTTTGGCCTAAAAAGGGCAAAGGGAGAAATGTTAAAGGAAGCATTTGTTAGCTGGGCAAGAATAGGTGCTCCAGGAAGTGAAGAACTGTGCCGAACAAGCTGTAGGACCCCCTCACACTCCTCCTAGCCCCACAAGGGGCAGGGGAGGGGTAACCTGAGCAGAGGGTGGGGCTTTAAAGCCTCCTGCTGAGACACCCCCCCATGGTGAGGCCATGGGTGATAACAGTGCTCTGTATCACCCAGAACTACAGAGGTAACAGAGAATGCCCCCACCCAGGACCTCTGGGAACCACAGCCTAGGGCTAGAACCTGAGCATGGGCAGAGGCCAAGCCAGGCATGCCACACACAGCCTGGAGAGCTGCCCAGCCCTTCCCAGATCTGGGAGGTAACTATCCCAGGGAGCCCTAAAGAGATGACAATCTTGTTCTCCAGGTGTGCAGGTTCCTGGGCTGGCAAGGGCAGCAGCCTCTTCACTATTCCTCAAGGGGGAGAAGCCCTATGCAATCTGAGCACTCTCTGCAGAAGGCAGACAAGGTTGGTGTGGCTCCCCCAGTGGACAGGTCAGCACTGGAGGCGAAGGTGGGGGCTGGGGTGTCGGGAAGCGCTGGGCAGGTTCCCAGCTCTGCTGCAGCCCAGCAAAGGGCCCAATGCCCCAGCAGTTTCCAGGTGCTGTGCTCCCTGGAGCACTCCCGCTGAGCCCACCTCCCTTACTGTACCACGAGCTCCGTACCCGGCAGACCGTGAGGACCAGCAGGTGGGTGCTAATCCAGCATTACTACCTCACACAAGCACTATCAGGAAAAAAGTCACATCTTTTTCCTGGGGCTTATCGACCTTATGCCCCAAACCTATGCACCACATCTCGGCTCATGTCTCCTGAGAGGCTATGACCACGACATGGCCTGGGCTCTCCCAGGGAGAGCATGGGAAGCCACACAGGCACTTACCGTATTGGTAGAAAGAGCAACAAAGTGCTTTGCAACTGCAGAAGCCTATGAGAAACAGACTCAAAGTTACACCAAACCCACTCCAGTGGGGCCATCCAAGGGTAATAATGATCCTATAGCTGCAAAAACCAAAGCCCTGCGTAGGACTATTTCCACTCCTTGGTTCTGAAGCTGTGGGAAGGACCCATAGCAAGGTCAAGGTCAAGAAGGCAGGAAGGTCATAGGCCGGCCTGCCATCTCACCTAACGGGCATACAATGCCCAGGGAGTATAACAGGCCTCTGTGAAATGGGTGAAGCCAGGAGCAGAGATGATCTGCCAGGGCCAAGGAGCTGAAAGAGAGGGCCCTTAATCCAGCACCATCAAAACAGAAAGGAAGGAAGAAAGGACCCTTAGTCCTAGCACCATAAAAAGGAAAAGAAAAGCCCTTTAGCAGGTTAGAGCATGCTCTGCCAGGTCTGCTACGCCAGGGGCTAACAAGGTCAAAGATGAACAATCACAACTGGAAAGGCAGGAGCCAGAAAGGCTACCTTTTGCTTCCAGTTTTAGGAGAAAATAGGGCCATTCAGGTGGACAAGTGGCTCACCCTGTTCCTCCCAGGCTACATACTGCTCACCACCCACCCATCCCTCAAGGGAGGGCCCACTACCCACTCACATCTTTGGCAGACATGAGAAACCACTCCTTTGCCGTTTCTGCATTGGTGATGGTCTCCTGGGTGGTAAAGGTCTGCAAACAGAGGGCACAGCAGTCAGCTGCTAGCTCACGGGCAAGAGCGGCCCCGAGCCAGGACTCAGCTGCAGAAGCCCTGCTGGTGCCCACTTGTCACAAGGAGCAGTATGTGCAGATCAGTGACACTCCACATACCCACTAACCCAGTCAGCATAGCTGTGTCTGAGGCAGAGGCTTGGACGCAGCAGCATTACCCTGTGAGCCCCGCACTTTACAACCAGAGGGAGGACCCTAGGAAATGCCACAACCCCCTAATCCTGCAGGACAAAGTCCCGGTCACCTCCCTGGAGCTGAGCTACACTGGGGCTCTCTTTAGCCCAGGGCAGCAGTTCTCAGAATTCAGGCAGAATAAATTAATTCATTCATTTGCAACAGGATCTCATTAAGTAGTTCAGACTGGTCTTGAACTCACCATGTAGCTCAGGCTAGCCTCAAACTCACTGCAATCCCCCTGCCTCAGCCCCTTCAGTGCTGGGATTACAGGCGTGTACCACCACCCCAGCTCAGATGGACTTCTATTTTTTGGGGGGGGCGAGGTACTGGGAAGCGAACTCAGGGCCTTGAGCTTGCCAGGCAGGCACTGCACTGCTGAGCTACATTCCCGACCCCTGGACTTCTTAATCTTTTATGCGCTTTAAAGTGAGTACAGAGGGCAAAAATGACAATAAAAGTCCTGTATTATCAGGGCATGCCTCTGAGATCAGAAAAAAACAAACATAAGGGACAGATCTGTAAGAAAGCACAGTCCACACTGGACAGAGGTTCCACAAAACAAGTGTGTGTCTTAGGACAAAGGTTCAAATTGACCAACTAGGGCTGGGGATTTAGCTCAGTTGTTTTGCCGCCTGCTGTGCAACCGCAAGGACCTGAGTTCAATCACCGGTACAAATAAAAAAAACAAAAACAAACAAATTGACCAACTATATTTGCTGCCATGTAAGGGAACAGTCTGAGAGCAGCTACACTAATCCTATCCACAAAGCATGGTTCACTCAGAACCAATCCTCAGGCTCCAATTCCTGAGACAATGGCAAAACACCATCCTTCCATCCCTCCATGGGCTCATACCTTGGAGGCGATGATAAACAGGGATGTCTCAGGGTTCAGGTTGGCCAGGGTTTTGGCAATGTGGGTCCCATCGATGTTGGAGACAAACCAGACCCGAGGGCCTCCTGCAGAGTATGGCTTAAGAGCTTCTGTCACCATGAGGGGTCCCTGTGGAGAGATACAGCATCAGAGAGGAAGATTTCAGGTCCCATCCCTGAAAAAACCAGAGACCTATGTGGGACTGACAGTTTCAACCGCTCACCCATCCCAAAGCAGCCTTCTCACCAGGTCAGAGCCTCCAATGCCGATGTTGATGACATCCATGATGGCTTTGCCTGTGTATCCCTTCCAGTCACCACTCCGAACACGCTGGAACAGAGCAGGGAGATCCAATCAGCCCAAACCTCTGCATACATCACTGCTCAAAGCCATCATTACTTCTGCATCCTTACTTTTCAGTTCCAACTTTCGGGCCTTCACAGGATCATCTTGAAACCACAGCGATAGATCCCCACCACACTCACCACCCACTGAACTTATTTCCTCATTAGAAAAGCAAAAAGAGGGGCTGGGGATTTAGCTCAGTGGTTCTACCACCTGCCTTGCAACCGCAGGGACTGGATTTCGATCCCCAGTACCAAAAAAAAAAAGAAAAACAAAGAGTTCCCTAAACTAAGACCAACCAGAGAGGTCCCTCTCCAACATTTGACCTAGAGAAATCATGTGAGGTAATTAATGTTCACTGCTGTTGTAGTACAATTTTTTATAAACACATTCTTTAATTAAATTTAAAATTATTATTTTTTAGTGCTAGGGATGGAACCCAAGGCCTTATGCAGGGCAGGCAAGCCCTTTATCACTGAGCCACATCCCCAACCCCACTGGGTAATTTTTAATAAAATGATAATTAATGAAGATTTTGGTACCAGAAATAGGGTGTAGTCATAATAAAGACCTAAACATGTTGGAAGACTGTAAGTAGAAGCCTGACAGACCTCAAGGAGGCTGTCAGTATGGGTTTGAGGAAAGTATTATTGGAAACTGGAGGGAAAAGAATCCTTGTAAAAGATGTACTCTAAAATGTACTTTAAAATCTAGATGATTAAAATCTAGATGCACACCTGTAATCCCAGGTCTAAGGAGGCTGAGCAGAAGGACTGTTGCAAGTTCCAGGGCAGCCTGAACTATACACTGAGACCCTGTCTCAAAAACAAAACAAAACAGATCTGGATGATGCAGCTATGTAGATAGGGAGACTCAGGCTATGCTGGAGCAAGTGCCTGGATTCTTGATTCTTAGAATGAAATTTGAGAAGAAAAATAAATTAAATGAAGAACTTTAAAACAAAACATAGGGGCCGGGGATTTAGCTCAGTGGTTTCACCGCCTACTTCGCAAGCACAAGGACCGGAGTTCAATCCCTGGTACCAAAAAACAAACAAACAAACAAAAACCAAACAAAACATAGCCAGGAAGCATTAGGTTGGAAAATTCCAACCCTCTCAGGCAACAATCAATGCTAAAATTAAGAGAGGGCTCCTTGACAAAGATCAAATGCAGGGCAGTCACATAAGCATAGTATAAATTTGAAGCCAATAGTGTAGCTATAAACCCTTTGTTAGCTCTCAGGAAGAAAGGCAGATACACAGAGGTACTTCTGTTCAAACCCAAGGCTTCTAAGAGGCTTATTGTCTCTGTGGGCTCAGAAATGAAGACAGAAGATGGGCATGGTGGTACAGGAAGTAGCTCAGTGCAAAAGCCCTGCGTTTGATCCTCATTACTAAAAAAAAAAAAAAAAGCTGGGGATTTAGCTCAGTGGTTTCGCCACCTGCTGTGCAAGTGCAAGGACCTGAGTTCGATTTTCGGTACAAAAAAAAAAAAAAGGCTAGGGAGGACTCAATTTGAAGAAATGTCCGTGTGGCTTTTGCCTAATGGATAAACCCAAAAAGCTTCATAGGAGACCCACAAAGTTTTAAAAGTAACATAATTGTCAGAAACAACACTAACTTGAACAGAATGGGACAAGACAGCATAAAAGGAAAAAAGGCTCTTAGACATAGAAAACTATGCAGCTGCGAACACAGGCTACCTTTTATGAGAGGAAGATTAGTGACGGTGAATGAGGCCAAGAGCCTTTAGGAATTATTCCTAGGTCTTGAGTCCTAACCAATTGCCAACACATGTTTTGCTGGGCTTCAGAAGTGCTACTGATAAAAAAAAAAAAAAAAAAAAGAATTGCTATTGATGACTTTTTTTTTTGCTACTGGGGATCGAATTTGGGTCCTTGCACTTTCAAGACAGGCAGCA